GTCACCATTAAACACTTCATAGAAAACACCAACTGCACTGATTAAAAAAAAAACACTCTGGAAACCTGTATTCAACAAGTAAGCATGATTTAGTATAATTTTTTAACAGTTGTTTTCTTAAACAAATTGATTAAATATCTTGAAATAAATTGTCATCAAAACAAAAATATTATAAAAGTGTTATAGGCACAAGAAGGGAAAGAAAATGATCTGTTATAGCTGTTTTTGTTTGTGATAAACAATTATTTGCTAGTTACACTTGTTTCTGTTATCAAGTGTTTTCTTTAATTTCTATTCAGAAAAAGTAAAGACAATCATATTATGTGTAATCCAAATAGTTATAATAAATAACTCATAAATTATCTTGATCAGAATAATATAATAATAAAATTGATAGTATATATAATGAGTTTTGTTTGCATAATAATTTTTAATGTAAAATACAGACTTTTTGAATGCATTTAATATATGTCTATTCATTAATATATTCTAAGTATAAAATTATATAATGCTTAATCTTAATTATTTCATTTACAATGTGTTTATAAAGCCTTTATCAAAATATACATGCATTAAACTAGTCCAGTTTTTGTAATTTCAATGACAAAATGTAATTTTAAATAGCAGGTAAAAATGTTAGTTTTGACTATGAGGTTGAAAAATCTATTTTTAACATTTCTGACTGAAAATTTTTATAATTAATGAAAATAGCTTCTTATCATATGATTTCTTGGAAGTAAAGATTATTTTTCCTATTTGTTAGTAAAAGAATAATTTAGTTTAAATCTTTGTGTTGTTTATTTAAATAGTGTAATTCTGTTTTACCCTGATTAAAATTGAATGAAATCATCCTGTTTTTTATAATTGAATATGAAATAATTTTGAAAAAGTTTTAAATTATAAATGTATATATGACAACATGCATAACCCAATACATTAGTATTACTAAATAATCTGCCTGATTTTTATTGGATTGTATTAAATTTATCATGAGATGGTGACTACCTCTAGCCAAATTGCTTTCAGATTATATGTAGGCCTTATAGCCCAATAAAAATCTGGAAGGTTGTTTGATATTAATAATAAGATTATTATTGTAGGATAATCTGTATTTTGTGTGATGAACTATTAAATTTTTTTATATTATGATGGAAGAAATACAAATGATTTATAAAGTGACTGTACATTTTTGTGAAAATGGTAACAATCATTTGTAGGTTTTGTGAAACATGCTAGACCCAAAAAGAAAGAATTGCTGTGGTTTGTGCATGTTAATGTACAGTACATGTACATAGAATCATCAAATCTTCCTATTACATAGCTTCCTAGAGATCATGACACCTCTGTTTCCTTGTCATCTTATGGAATACCTGGATACAGTATGTATGTTTAATGAATGAGTTTGTAATGAAGGATCTTCCAAACTGTTGGCTATGGCACATGAAGTTTCCATCTTAGCTGTTCATCATCAACCAGGAAGCTGTTGTTGCAGTATTTACGTGCGAATCATTTTATTGGGTCTCCCAGAATGTTGAGTATTGTGTACTCTATACATTTATCTGAATTGTTTGGATCAACAGTTTGATTGGGAGCAGGTTTCCTAATTTCTGGGTGAAGTTTATTGGTATTTCTGTGTACATCCCCAGTGATTCTGTTGTATTCAGCATGTTTCACACAACCTGCATACAAATGATTTTGTTACCATGTTCAAAAAAATGTGTAGACTATAATTACCCTGTAGATCAAATGTTTATTGATAGATACAGAAGTGTGATTTGAAATTTCTGCTATACAGCAGAAACTTGAGAAATTATTTGATTTTGAGACAGTATGAAAAAATTAATGAAATTTTACAATGTACGTATTGGTGTTTTTTCCTAGAAAACAATAAATATATATATGTATATATTTTAATTATAATAGTAAACTATTTTAATATTAACTTGCATTATTTTAACTATAATATATAACTAAAGCTCAGTTTTTGAAACAGTTCAAGAATTTGTTGTTATAAGTTGAGTGATGTTTTTTAAATCTTAAAAAATAGGACTGATACTACGTTTTAATTTTTGTTAGGATTTGGCAGAATCCAATAATTTTAATTTGTAAAATATTACACTTTTTGGGATGTACTGTGCCTGTGTACTAGAAAAAAATCCTTGCTTGACTTTGTTGCATTGATTCTCTCAAATTCCCCAATTCAATTTTTTTTATGGTTTCTGAACACTGTACATTACTTGGTAGAATATTATTTTGTGTTGTTTTCTAAACAAGTTATTTGTATAAAGTGGAAAAAACCTATTGGTGTTCTGCAGAAACCTTCAACAAATCATTACTTTAAATTTTCTTTTATTAATTACAGTATAAGAAAAGTGGTGTATACGTTTAGATTCCCCTCAGATCATGTGGAATCTTGATTAACTGAGACTTGGATAATTGAGGTTCTATTATTTCATCTCATCTCATCAGAGAAGGAAAATAATGTATGGGATGAAAGATGTATACATATTTTGATATCTCAATTCATTTTTATTGCACTTAATTTTGCATGCTTGTTTAAATTTGAGTAATTTGCATGATTTTAAAATAATTGTGATATATTTTTTTAACAATGATTTAAGGGAAATAAGTACATTTTATGATTTCTGGTTGTTCAAGAGCAGTTTCTGAATTATTGATGCATCTAGGGATGGAGCCATACAGGATGGTGTTTCCCATATTAATAATGCTCTGTCTCACTCTTGCTGTTTTGCACTTGAGTTTTAAAAGTGAACAGTGTAAAAAAAAATGTCACAAACTGACCACTGGATGAAACACAAACAGGTGCATCAGACTCAAATATTGAACTATGTAAACAGATATAAGTTAAAGAATAATAATAAAAGCTGAACAAGAGCAAGCATTGAATTTTATTATTATTGAGCATTGTCATGTGTACTACTAGTTTGCATATGATAAGCAAAATATGATCGCCTTATTGATATGGCAACTTCTTGCACAATGTGTTGCTAGTGATCATGAGTTGTGTTTTTATGGTAGCCTGTCCATCTAAGGTAAGTCCATGCAAGCCATCAGTCATATGGGTTACCTTCACAATTTTCTGACTATATTTCTGGATGTATCAACATAAAAAATGTTGCTTCTTTAACTTTGATAAAATTATATTTCTATCTCATCTTCAAGACTGTGGTTTTACAATATATCGTCTAAAGGTGAATGTAGAATAACATCAATTTTTTTTTCACTTCCTAAATCGATTTTCTGCTATTTTTCTTGTGCTGTGAAAGTTGGCTAAATTCTATCTTTTGCGGTGGCTGTTGCCAAGATGTATTTCTATCTATTGGCCCATAACAGTTTGTTTTGCAGTCATGTGAGAATAGAATCACATGATTTAATGGTGGAAAGTTCAACATTGTTAACAGACATAACTGACATTAGAATAAAAAGAGGAGAGGATAATAAATTTAACACAAATTCTACACAAATAATTATATATAATTTAATTGAAAGAACAAAACAAATGAATCTTGCTGAAAATAGTATTCCTGGATTAAGATCTTTTGATAAAGAATACCTTATTGAAAGATCTTAATCAAGGAATAAGTGTATTTTGCACACCTGTTCATTCTTGATGTAAGAAAATATCTAATTCAAAAAATCTTTTGTGAAATCATCTTTGACGTCTTCTAGCTAAATAAAACAATCTGTACAAAATGAAATTTGTAAACATGAAGATAATGGTAGTGTTGGTATCATTCACCATTGTGAATATTGTATGTATGTGCTGAAATCTAAATATATATTTGCTTGTTGGTTGTGCTGCCATGCAGCAAAGACACTGCTTTTTGTTGCTGCACTGCATGTGCATCCATCCTAAGATTGGCATATGCTATAATATAATTTTGTGTACACTACTGTATTTTCTATTAAATTTTTAACTCTTGATTGCTTTGAAGGTTTACATTTGTGTAACTTTACAGTAGTTTTTCTTATTTTCTAGCATTTTATGAAAAGCAGTTTAAAGAAAGAAAAAAAAATTGATAACAATTCTGTTATATTTAGAAACATTTGTTTACAAAAGATGAATATGATATTCTTTCAAATAAGGTGTTTGCTGACGTAAAATGCATAGGTTAATGTCATTTTTGTTACACAGCTGCTAGGATTTCATAGAAGGTTGGTTGGTTAGGGTTTATTGGTGCAAGGGCCACATAGGCCAAGCTGCACCATGTCAAACAGTATAAGCATATTTATTTATTCAAAAAAATAGAATTGTTAGTTTTTTAATGTACTGCAAAACACATAAACACATAATCACATACAATTTATTGTAGGGAAAGTGCTTACAGTAGAGCATCGATTATCCGACTCAATTGGGGACTCAGGTTGGTCGGATAACTGAAAAATCGGATAACCGAAAATAATGAAAAAAATACATTATTACTATAGTATACAGTAGATCCCCCTATAAGACGGTAGATACGTTCCGTTCTTTATGAATCAATTTTGTAGGAATCATAGTTTACGGACTACGGCTGTTTGAAAGGTTTTCTNTTGTATAGAATAATTTTAAAAATTTATTAAATTACATAATATAAAGAGGGTTTTAAAAATGTAATGTTCTTTAAAAGATTATTAAATGTGGAGTAATAAATTTTTAACATGTTAACAAGATGTAACGCGACCTCTCCTATACGATAAAGCGCGATTGTACGATAAAGTTCTGCTCCTACTATTATTTATAAGCTACCAGACATCCGCGTTTTGACAGAAAATCTCAAGCATATGCATTATTTAAATAGATAAATATATTTTTGTATGTCTGAATCTTTCTTTAATAATTATTAATAAGGCGATATCCATAAAAATCGTAAAATATTCCGTTACGGATTATTATAATCAAATATTACTTTTGAATTAGTAATAATAATATAATTAAGATATTATATTTAAAAAAAAATAATAAATGTAGTTATGATGCGAGTTGTAATTAAATTATTAACAGGTAATTTTTCTTGTAGTGCTCGATCCAATCATTATCAAAGAGGTCCTGTATTATACGCATGCGCCAATGATAGCACATGGCGCATGCGAGTGACGTCACCGTCGTATTGCTGTGGGTACTAGTCGGAAGAAGGAGGAATTGAGATTTGTAAACGTGATTAGATCCTGTTTAATGAACAATGTAATGAGGATTACATTCTAAATCACTTCAGAAGAACATCCAAAGTGGATATATAATCGTAAGTTTGATAAGTTTGTAAAAGTTATATAAAGAAGTTCGAGTACGTAAATGAAATCGGTAGTAAAAATATGCATGATCTTGGAAATCTTTTCATTTAGATACATATTCGAATATAAATGTAATTTAAACACCAAGGAAGTCTGCATTATTCGAAACGAGAATAAGAAAAATATTGAAGATAGTTGCATTAGCAACTTATTGTTTGCACGCGGAATATTTCCATTTCATTTTAAATTTATATATTTCATGCATGCGATTCGTAATAATTCCGTAAGATGTTTCACCGCATTTTTATTATTTTTTTCGGCTTATTAAATTATTAGGAGAAAGTTTTCGTATAGTAACTTTAAACTGAGCAACAGTACAATCAGTTAAGAGTGTTAAGTATTTAAAAAAAATTATGATTTAGCTGCATGCATATTTTAAATAAAATGTAAGTGGAAATATTTACACACTCCCAATTGAAAATAGATAAGTATAAAATAATGTATAACATAATTCTTTGTGACAACTTCTAAGCTAAATAGCAAATGTGATAAAGAATATTTCAACTTAGATAATGGTTGCTCAATATTTTAAATATATAATACAGTGAAACTAATTTTTAATATTTGAAATTTTAAATATAAACTTATTTATATCTTTATGAATCATTAAATTAAAATTAGATGTTAATGCAGTTATAACCCTGCAAAAACATTAAATTTTTAATTATAGTGTGTATTTTGGTATAAAACAGAGTAATTATTTTGATATGACAAAAATTTTTTTTCGAGTGTTTGGTATTTTGGAATTTATTGGAAGAAATATCTAATTTGTAAATCTTTATAGTATAGGAAACATTCCAATATAACAAATTTTTAATTTAAAGTTGAGTAAAGTAATTGTTTAGAAAATTGAATTTTCCTTCTTTTTCTGCTAGAATATTTATAAAAAAATTTTTTACATTTTTAATATATTCTTCTATATTTTTATTTAATTTGTATTTTATATTTTGATTATTAATATTTAAAGAAATTTTTAATTACAAAATTATATGTATTTGAAAAAAATTAAACAGAAATAAGAATAAAATTATTCTCCCCTCTGGAAATTATAGCTGTACAGTATTCACATTTGTACTTATATGATGATGGTGATGAATTTTTCTATAGTAAAATGCTTCTCAATACTTTTTATGTTAATTTCATAATCATTGTTCAAAAAAGTTATGTAGTCATTCAGATGATGTAGAAATTCTTTTTAATTATCTATTCTGAGTATTTGACTTTTTTTTTCATCCTAATTTTGTTAATTTTAATGTGTAACATAATAGTACTGTACAATTTATATTTCATTGAAAATATATTTATCAAACACACTGATTAGGTATAATCTCCAGGAATTTAAATATATAATTATATTTTAAATATTTGAAATTTCATGTTATATTTAAAGAAAAAATATCAAAGTATGCAAAGTGTCTTTAGAAATACTTAACAATAATTATAATTTACATTATTTTACTTTGCTCTCAAACAATTAGAAATTAATTCTTTTTCATTTTTAGAAAAAAAGCTATGTTGACTGAAGATACAAAAATATTAATACTTAAGAATTTTGTATAGAGAATTATATTTATGAATAATCTCAAAAAGATTAACATATATATTTAAAGCTTCTTAATTATTAAGAATAAGCCATATAATTAAGTAATTTGTAATTTGTTTGAAATATAGGGCCTATATGAAATTATCTCACATTCTATAAAATGTGAATGGAATCTGATTTTAAAAAAATCAAATGAAAGAACAGTTGCAAAGAAAATAATAAATGCTGTAGGGTTACAGAATGTTTTTTTATTGAAGAATAATTAAAAATAAATTTTGAAGTTTGCTTTACATTTCTATTACAAAAACATATTTTAAGAATTAATAATAATAAAGCTTATTATTTTGATTTGATAGTGTTTATTCTACTCTATATCATGATTATTTAATATCAATTGTTATGAAAATAAAATTAAATAGTTAATTCAATTTTGATATGTAATTTGTCATGATAGTATAGTGAAAAGTTATGTTCAGTTTTCACCAGATGTTTTTCTATTTGTTATCTTTAGAAAGGAATGGCAAGTCTTTTTAAACCTGAATGTTAAACTTACTAAAAATACAAAAGAAATCTATATAAGTTTAAAATTGAAATCATGCTTAGGTAATTGTTCTATCATAAAATATTAGATTGCACATATTAATTCAGTAAAATAAAACCGTTTCTCAGCAGTTAATATAATTCACAAGCTGCAAGTATAATTAAATGTAATTTTGAATAGATGTAAGTTTGATAAATTAATTTTTAATAATTTTTGATATTAAGATCTTATTGTTATCAATATAATAACTTAAAATACTGATGTTAAGCTTTTTTGAATAAAACTTGATATAAAAAAAAATATCTTAAAAATTTTAATTGTTATATTAACTATTCATGAAATAAGTTGTTGAATCTTTTAATATTTCTATGATGATTTTATATTAACAATAATTTGTTTTATAAAATAATTAATCATATAAATATTAATATAATTCTATATACAGTACTTACATTGCTGAAACAGTTAAAAAAATAAATTTTATTGATTATATTGAATAATACAAGCCAGGACTATCTCATTAAATTAAACACAGCTTATTAAATGCTAAAAATTTCTAAACTGTGTATAAACACAATCACTAAGTTAATGCATTTAATAAGAATTTTTTCAAAATATATACAGTTTTGGATTATATAAATACAATATTTAATACACCAAATTAGAAATTATTTTTATCTTAATTAGATTTGTAGTTGAGTATAAATATTGGTCTTATGTATACTAAATGTTCAATATATACAAATAATCATTGGTAGATTGAGATTTTGGATATTTAAGAAAAACATCATTTAGTATACATGACCTTTACAGTTTTAAGAAACATCAATGTAAATTTGGAATGATTTTGATATAAGTGTCTTTTTAACTTTATAGATAAATCTCTCTGGTTATAATTTATTGAACACAAAAATTACAATATAAGTGCACTAATTGAATCATATATTAATATAAAAAAGTAATAAAAATACTATTTACATGGTACTTACAAGATCAATGACTAAATATTATGTAATATAATTCTAAACAAATGTGTTATTTGGTATATGTAATGAATGGAAAAGATCCACTTAATTTTCAAAATGAAAGTCAAAATGTTAATGTCACTTACATCATCCATCAGCTGATTAATTCAGTTTTTTCAAAAAAAAAGACTTATTTAAAAACACTTATGTATCAATTGTTACCAAAATAAAATTAAATAGTTAATTCAATTTTCATATTTACTGTATACCAGTCCTTTAACTAAATGTAACTTGCTTGTGCATTGCACAAATAATTCATTTGTGAGTCACCATTAAACACTTCATAGAAAACACCAACTGCACTGATTAAAAAAAAAACACTCTGGAAACCTGTATTCAACAAGTAAGCATGATTTAGTATAATTTTTTAACAGTTGTTTTCTTAAACAAATTGATTAAATATCTTGAAATAAATTGTCATCAAAACAAAAATATTATAAAAGTGTTATAGGCACAAGAAGGGAAAGAAAATGATCTGTTATAGCTGTTTTTGTTTGTGATAAACAATTATTTGCTAGTTACACTTGTTTCTGTTATCAAGTGTTTTCTTTAATTTCTATTCAGAAAAAGTAAAGACAATCATATTATGTGTAATCCAAATAGTTATAATAAATAACTCATAAATTATCTTGATCAGAATAATATAATAATAAAATTGATAGTATATATAATGAGTTTTGTTTGCATAATAATTTTTAATGTAAAATACAGACTTTTTGAATGCATTTAATATATGTCTATTCATTAATATATTCTAAGTATAAAATTATATAATGCTTAATCTTAATTATTTCATTTACAATGTGTTTATAAAGCCTTTATCAAAATATACATGCATTAAACTAGTCCAGTTTTTGTAATTTCAATGACAAAATGTAATTTTAAATAGCAGGTAAAAATGTTAGTTTTGACTATGAGGTTGAAAAATCTATTTTTAACATTTCTGACTGAAAATTTTTATAATTAATGAAAATAGCTTCTTATCATATGATTTCTTGGAAGTAAAGATTATTTTTCCTATTTGTTAGTAAAAGAATAATTTAGTTTAAATCTTTGTGTTGTTTATTTAAATAGTGTAATTCTGTTTTACCCTGATTAAAATTGAATGAAATCATCCTGTTTTTTATAATTGAATATGAAATAATTTTGAAAAAGTTTTAAATTATAAATGTATATATGACAACATGCATAACCCAATACATTAGTATTACTAAATAATCTGCCTGATTTTTATTGGATTGTATTAAATTTATCATGAGATGGTGACTACCTCTAGCCNTGCAGCTCTTGCTGAAAGTGTTAATTTATGCTTTTTATTATTATTTTTAAAATTTTATTTCCACAATTTTGTGAAAATATGTTTATTAAAAAAATTCAATATTTGTTTTATATTATATTTATATTATATAATAAAATTGTGGTACAGAACTGCAGCTCCCATGCATTTTGCAAAACCTACATTTTGGCTCCCACTGAACTCTTGCTTGCCCACCCCTGCTGTATACAATAGTGTCAATTATCCTAATGCCAATCAACCAAAACGTTGGTTAACCGAAAGCATTCCAGTTGGACTGTGTCGTGCTGAATCAAACGTTTTTGATACTGGATTAACTTCTAAAGTATAATTTTTTTTGTTTTTATATTTTTCAATATATTTATTTTGTTTGTACAAAACAAAGAAATAATTTTTAACGATACAATAGCCATGATTATTATTATAAAAATTTTTGTTAGGCTTAACATCAACAAAAATTCACTGCAAAGTGATACACAATGGAGAAAAATTTAAACATGGGACATATTAGTATACTATTATTAGGATATACTAATGTGCTATATTAA